ATTGAAAAGCATGCTGCAAGTGTTTATACAAGAAGAACATTCAAAAAGTTTATAAATGAGATGCGTCTGCAACAATTGTATTTTCATGAATATCGCATCGATGATGAGCCATTTATACGAGTGTACTATTTAATAAAGTATGGAGATCTTTCCGAGTGGATACGTGTGGAGTTTCATGTAGATGATGACAATATAAAATGCTCATGTCTTAAATTTGTAACAAAAGGTATACCATGTCCACATATCATTCATGTGATGATTTTAGAGCAATTAAATAGGATCCCTTTGACTCTCATAATGAAAAGATGGACAAAAAATGCCAAAGATGATGCACCTGTAGTTGTAGACAATAATGTTGATCCTCAGTACCAGAGGATGCTACGATACGCTTCTCTAAGCTCTCACTGGAATAGGTTATGTCATGTCGCTTCTCAATTCATTGAGACATTTACCGAAGCGAAGAGTGAAATAGCTAGTTTAACAAGACGATGGGAAGAGATGTGCAAAGTCAATACAGATGGAATTTCTAATTTGATAGAACATGTTCATGATCCTACTAGAGTGAAAGTTAAGGGCAAAGTTGGACCTAAAACTGAAGGGAAAAAAAAGCCATGAAAATGTGGCAATTGCACAATGGAAGGTCACACAAGGAATAAATGTCCACAGCTAGAGCTAACACTTCATAGTTTGGACTCAAGTAGTTGCTTTCTTGATGATAATGATGTTGATGTATATGAGAGAAATAAAAAAGTATGGCCATTTCAATTGGGAACATTTTTTGGTGGTGATTCATCAGAGGTATAATAATATAACATTTATTATTATTAAACTACTACCGATGGTAATTATTACATATTTGTTTTATTTATTATCTGTTTTATTTTGTTACAGGAAGAATAACGCATAAAAATGACAATGAGGTTGGGATTCATTTTATTATACTCGTTTTCTACCTTGTTGAATCTATTTGTTGATACAGGTATCATACACTTTGGTTGGAAAATAAAAAGACAACAATTTGTTTGTTCTAACCTTGTTTTCTTATTTTATTAGTTTACTATTTAGGGTAGGGTGAAGTTGAAAGGAATGAAATCTTATGTTTGCATGGACGGTAGTCAAGGTTTAAGGATGTTGTGCGTAATTGTATATTTATGGCTGGTAGGCTATGATAAAGGCTAAAATTCGTTGTTTGAAGATAGTGAAATGTTACTATGCTAGCAGGATCATTTCCACACTCAGGAAAGTAGTATTAAAGATCTGACGAAGGAAGGTATCATTGACTCAGATGGTGAGGTCCTTGCGAGGGGAAAAGGAACATACAAGTGCAACCAAAAGGCCCTTATGGCCTATGATAAGCTTTAATTAACCATTGATCAAGGTTTAGCTACTTTGTTTGCACCTGCATAGGCTTGGGTGTTGATTATAAATGAATCTTATTTGCGAGCTCATGGATTTGAAATGAGGAAACAAGTGTTTCACAGTTGTTTTTTTATTTAATTTTGGTTGTACAGAACCCATAAAGGAGAAATAAAACGGATTGGAATTTGAATGACTTTACTGTAATATTACATCATGATTGCAACTATTATCTGGAAACAGAACACAACACTCTGCTATCACGGGCTTTGAACGTGTGACTGGTAAGGGGAAAGCTGCATTGCCACCAACAGCGGCGTACTACCTCTTAACTAGTTACGTAATGGGAAGCGATTCTGATGGATGAGAGGGGTTTTGCTCTATCCCGACTGAGTTCCATTTACATGGCCACTTTCTAATCTTTCCTTTTATTTTTTCCCTCTGTCCCTGTCTTTGGACTTGGGTTAGAACACGAAGGATGTTTGAAATAGTAAGGCCTAGCCCGTGGGGACATGCGGCGTGTATGTTACCAAAAAGTGAACGCATTCAGAAGGCAGTAGCATCAACACTACAGCGCCACACTCCTAGCGTTGCAGCGCTGTCCCCTTCACCAAGCAAAAGCATCAACATTGGAACGCCACACTCCCAGCGCTACAACGCTGTCCCTTTTCACCAGGCAGCACTCCCAACGCTGCAGCGCCACACTCCCAGTGCTGCAGTGCTATCCTATTCACCAAGCAGTAGCATCAACGCTGC